AATGGTCCTGCTCGTGCGTGGAGTTTGATGTCCAGCAGTGAGTGCACTCCTCCCCTGCTGACCAAACTTAATAGTATTAAAATGAAAACAACTGGAAAAAATAAAATGTGAAATAAAACAAAATACTCAGTGTTGTTAACATAGTAGAGTGATTGTTTAGTGTAATTAATTCAATGTGCATGTAAAGTAAGTACATCCACTTTTGTACCGGACTGTCATGCACACAAATTAGTATTATTGAAATTTTCTATTGTTGTTCTTATTTTTGCAATTACAGATTATGTTGATAATAGTTTTGGTTAATTAGCCACATATCCAGCATTTATGCCCAAATTTACATGCACTCCTACCAGATATGAGTACAGATATGCCAAGATGAACGTGATGAATAACAAAACCGTCCATGAATTTGTGTGCGCTCATCTTACGGTCAGATGTGACCATAAGCATCTTTAATGAACAAGAACCGAAGTAAGAAAAGTGAAGCAACTGAATATATGGAGGTGATGGAAAGTCAATTAACAGATAATTAGTGGGATTAACACATAAGCGCTAGTAAGTTATCATGTTACTTATTTATGTGAAGAAAAATACTTATTAGTTAATTAACAATGTAATAAGCAGCAATTAGCACACAGATAATGAGTAAGTAAGCCACAAACTAACGACAAACTAACTTATCAACTAACAGTGTACTTAATTATTAATTGATAAGTGCTTAATCAATTACTAAGTAATAGCTAATGCTTAATGAAGAGTTAACTAATAACTAAATAATGGGAAACTAATAGTTGATTATTATATATTTAATGATTGATTAGCGACCCTTAATGTAAAGTGTTACCAAAAAAACAAATACATTACATTTTGTATAAAAACTATAAACAATTAAAAATATTTGTGTATATAAAAGTAAATGTTTAAACAGATTATATTAGAAGGTTTCTTCTTTGGTTGGTGGTGTGTGGTGTGGTATGGTGTGGTGGTATTTGTTGAGGTGACTAATGAGTACAGATACGTGCACAAAGACATTGGTGTGGGCAGTTTCGTTAGCACTGATAGGAATTTGCTTGGATGTCTTAGAAACATTGTAACTTCAAATGCAAGGAAACTGGACTGAATGCGGAAAAAGTCATTATAACTGCTACAACTGTGTAATTACACATTAACAATACATGCAACAATGTAACAGCTGGTAATGTAGTCACTGTTATAAATGGATTATGCAAATGCATATTTCAACAGTCTTTTCTTATGTAATTACATACATGTAATAACATGAAGTTAATTACATTTGTATAAACTACTGTTTTCCTAATAAGAATTTGGTAATTGTAACAAGATGGGTATAATTCTACTCATACAGTTAATAAGAATACATCCACCCAAATGTACCTGCTGATTTCTTAATTAAGATCATACCCCTGTAGTAATTTGCTTGTGATGTGGCATGGTCACTTAACCAAACGTCTGGCTTAAAATGATTCTGTAATGTGACGCCTCTTGTTACAACCAGAAAAGTCTTGTTGGTAAAACAGGGTAAACAGCTTTATGACAACCTTTAATACAGCACATTATGTATACACTGAATTGATGAGCAGTAAACAATGTAAACTGAATGAAACTCAAACCTGACAATGAGAATATGATGAACAAAGAAGAAGAACAATTGCCAGCAGCTTTTGTCAACACAAAAACAAACAAACAAACAAACAAACAAATAAAACTTGGAATTAAGTACAAAATCTGTCAAAAATGATACATAAATGCACCAATGATGTACAACATTTTTATACTAGATACTATATAAATAAACTTGCCTTGTACAATGTTATGACCCAGTTTAGGGTGAGGCCATAATATAAAAGGAAAGAGAGAGAGAGAGAGAGAGACATGTGCCCTTCCGATTCCCTCAACCATGCATACGACATCCAGCTTCACAATGATAAAGATTTATTGAAGTTGAAACAAAGATGAGAAAACTGAACCAAAACAACATAACAAGAAAGGAGGGTAGGAGAAAATCACAAACACAACAAAGTTAACTAAGTTTTAACAACTAACTAAATCTAACCAACAAAAAGAAAAGAAAATACATCAAATGTAACCTAACTCCTTAACTAAACCAATAACCAGGAAAAAACAAAGAAACAAAAACATCCTCCCTCCCTAAACTGAAGAAGTAAAGATACTGCAGTGTCTAGGCCTCACAGACTTTGGTGGAGATTATACAGGAGTTTCAATGCCATTTGAAACATACGTTTTACATACCACACTGAAAACCTTAACACCTTGTAAAACTACTCAAGTAACACAGCCATCACAGCCTATTAGTTACTCTAATGAAGCATGAGCATTTCTCAGGTTGGTGGTGGAACCGGGAAGCAACAGCGTGTAACCCTCTCTTTCGCCTCATGCTTCCACCTGGTCGTAATCCAGCTTTTATAGGTTGAGCCCCCTGCTGGACTGGAGTCATCATGACACTGCAATATGTAAAACAACAACAAAAACAAAAACAAAAAAACAACAAAGAACATTGCAAAGAACAAGACATCATGACCCCTAGGTTCGTAACAAAAATGATACGCTGTAGCGTAAGTACCCCTGTTATCGGCCACCTCATAACAAAACATCGGGAATCTAAGCTAACTGTAAATAAATGAAAGCACTTTACTCACCCAAATCAATGTTTTTCGGGAGAGATACGTGTGTAGATTAATGTCCAAGAGTCATTTGACATGATGAGAAGACAGTTTTTTCAATAATAATGTTTTTGTCTACTTTGACACTGGTATCGCTAGAATGATGGTCCCCCAATATCGGCCACCTCACTTCCGGTTTTCCGTAACTCATCTTTCAGCCTAAAATTCAGCATATAAAATTGTAAAAAAACATAAAATATATGTATATATTCGTTAGTAAAATGTGATGTTATTGTATTGTTTCATTATTCAACTTGATTTGCTTGTTTATCTAAGTATAGAGCTCAGCTCTTTGCTGCGCACCTGGTTGTGCCAGTCAAATGAGAAATCGCGTTTACGCATCATTCCTACCAGACTCAATGCTTTACAGTGGTTTACAATGAGGTTAAGTTTGTCCTCTGTGGGCACATATATGTACGCCATATATGTACGCCATATATGTAACACTACAATGGCAGCAAACTGTTTTTTTACCTCAGAGAAGAGAAAGCTAACCGATAAGCTAACTTTCTACACAGACCAATATCCATCATGGAATGAAAATGGGTTGTGTGTTCCATGCGGTTTTGTACACGCAGAATTATTATTAGTGATATTTAAATATTGTTTTCAGATATGATTTTTTGCTAGAATAAAGTTTAGATGCCCTTGTAAGGTGCAAGCTTATGTGTTTTGAATTTCGCCTGAGCAATTGGCGGAGAGAGAGAGAGGAATTGCGCAATACGCGCAAGTGGCCGATGTTGGGGGACGGCCGATGTTAGGGGTAGCTATGTTATCATAATAATAATGCTTTGCTGTAATCAATAAAACATGTGTTGACTTCCTTCTTGAATCTAAATATTCATTTATTTACTGTGAATTAAACCTCAGTATTCAATTCAGTTTCATTCAGTTTACATTGTATACTGTCCATCAATTCAGTGTATACATAATGTGCTGTATTAAAGGTTGTCATGAAGCTGTTTACCCTGTTTTACCAACAAAGACTTATCTGATTATAACAAGAGGCGTCACATTACAGAATCATTTTAAGCCAGAAGATTACTCCATTACTACAATAATGGAGTGTATTTTGAATTAAATGCTGGGATTAATCTGATTGTATTAGATTATAAAAGATTAATAACAGATTCATTTCTGTTTTTCTCTACAGCTTTGTTGTCCATGAACCCTGATTGCAGATTTACTCAGAGTGATCCATGTTATGGAGCTGTGGGACGACCACTGTACCTGCAGCTGCCATCTGAGTATGAATTAACCTTAAAGAAGAAGAACAGTGGAACTATTGATCATATTTTCAGATTTAGAAACCAAACAATCACACAAAACCATTCAGATTATCCAAGATGGCAGTTTGTTACTAATGGAACCATGGAAATTCGCAGTGCAGAGAAAAGAGACTCAGGAAGGTACATTTTAGAAACACTTGATTCAGAAGGCACATCGAAAAGCACTTATTATCTCCAGCTGGTTATTGAAGGTAGGTCTTCACCGCTTCTAATCACATCACACAGCTACACAATGTATAACTACACAACTGACTTTTGTCAAATAAGACTACAGTATGCTTTTAGAAGCCAAATACCGATCCCCTTGAAAATTCCTGGCACCCTGGTAAAGACCATTTTCAGGTCCTGCCACAGCATCTCAATGGTGTTCACGTCAGGAATTTAAGTAAGCCACTCAAAAATCTTAATTTTGTTTCTTTTAAACCATTCAGCAGAGGACTTGCTCTCATGCTTTGGCATGTTGTCCTGCTGCATAAAAAATGCATAACTGCAGTTGAGCTTTGAATCATGACTGATGACCAGACATTCTCCTACATGAATTTCTGGTAGTAGAAGCCATGGTTCCACCAGCAAATTAGTCTTTACCCACTGTGGTATACTGTCACTTTACTGTAGTAATTAACGTTAGCCAGTTTATTACCTGAGATTATGTACTGGGTTGGCTAGTTGGTGGTTGTCATCATCATCACAGTGATGTCTATGGGCCTTAGTACTTGGTAGACTCCCCCTCCCCCCCTGACATTGATCTAGAATAAGATCTAGACAGATCTGTGATCTAGACTGAGCTGTTATCTAAGTTCAAGTCAAGCTGTAAACTATGCTGACATGTAATTTAAACTGAGCTGCGATCTAAATTGAGCTGTAACCCTGTCCAAGCTGTAATCTAGATTGAGCTATAATCTAGCCTGAGCTGCATTCTTGTTTGAGATAATATAGACTGAGCTATAATCAAGACTGAGCAGTAATCTAAACTGAGTTGCCATCTAAACTGTTGATCTGTAATCTGCAGCTGCAGTGTCCTCAGTGGAAGTGGAAGACAGCTGCTTCTCCAGTTTGAAAAGGAGAGTGTCCTGTTCCTCTGATGGAGACCAGCTCCACATCAGCTGGACACTTAGTGGATTGGCACTTGGATACCAGCTGGTTGATGGGAACAAGACTCTTTTATTGGATAGAGATGATGCTGGAAATTTCACGTGCTATGTGCAAAATCATGTTAGCCATGGAGAAAACACTGCTAAACTGAGCCAGTGCCCTGGTAAGATGCTGAGACAACTGATTGATTGGTAGATGGATTGAAAGATTAACTGATTGCTTTCTAGTGATGAACAGACATCATGTTTAAGTGGTTCATTACATCACTTATACACTACTCGCAAAAGTTTTAGGCACCTGAGAAAATAATGTAAAACAAAAAAAAGTGGGCAGATTGCTCTTATATCAGCGTTGTCCAAAGTCCAGATCCTGGCCCAAAGGCAAGCCATGGACAGTTTTAATTGCTTGATGACTTCTGTCATGCAATGCATTCTAGGTGGCCTTTCAATAACTATGTTGCAATTTTACCTTTTAGTTGAGAGTGGCAACATGAACATATAGTGAGTTTAGTTCACAAAGTTAGATAAAGCGCAAGAGTCTTTTTTCACTGACTGCAACCTGCAAATGAATTTACTGAATCCCATTTAGTCATGAATACATCCAACAAGGACACAAAGAGTCACTGATGTAGTACCCCGTAGGACATCCTGCTGGTCTGGACATACACAGAACTTACTAGCAAGCCAGTAGCTCCCCCTTGTGGACAATCTTGTTAAATGTGGGCTAGTAAATGTGAGTGAGTATGTGAGTAGGTGCTTTGGCTTTCTAAAAGCCATAAAGCCAAACAGGGACCTAAATCATCTACAAGATGGATATCGGAATACATTTTTCCCTGAGAGCCTCATTGTCATTGTGTCTCTCATGTGTTTATAGACTGTAGTGAATTTAATACCAAAAGACATTATGAAACAAATCATGGACAGTACAATAAATAGTCAGGGGATGAGAGGGCAGAGAAACCAAAGCAGCTGGAGGCTACCCTGGTCTCGCAGCAGCAACTTTTAAGTGAACTGCAACAGCATAGTTATAGAGTTATATCTGCAATCTACTCTGTTCTTTGTCTTACAAAATGACATTTTGGAAGAAGAAAACATTCATGAATATACTTAACACAAGAGCTGTGAATCAATAATTTGTTGTAGATGCTTAGCAATCTGAACTGTGCTTCAAATTAACATGAGCGCTCACTTCAAATAGCCACAGTGCATCCAACAGTAAATCAAGCCTCATACACTGGATTATCATTTAAACATTTCAAATTAAGGACCTTTTTTACTGCTTGAAGTTTTCCCACTCTGATTTCCTTATTAAAAATTCTTAACTGGTGGTGTAAAAGTGAATGAACTACACTACATTTAGACTACACTACATTTAGATGTGTCCGATTGATGACAAAATGTTCTTGCTTTTCTTCTTCCTCAGACTTGATTTCAGTGATCCCTGTTTGTAGATTTACTCAGAGTGATCCATGTTATGGAGCTGTGGGACACCCAATGTACCTGCAGCTGCCATCTGAGGATGAATTAGACTTAAAGAAGAACAACAGTGGAAATGTTACACGTATTTTCAAATTTAAAAAACACAAAATAACAAAAAACCATTCAGATTATCCAAGATGGCAGTTTGTTACTAATAACAGCACCATGATAATAAGCAGTGCAGAGAAAAGAGACTCAGGAAGATACATGTTGGATACATTTGATTCAGCAGGGACATCGAAAGGCAACTACTATCTCCAGCTGGTTATTGAAGGTAGGTCTACACAACCTCTAATCACAACACACAGCTACAAAATGTATAACTACGCAACTGAACTACCTTCACAATAAGAGTCCTTAACAGAAAAAAAAAAAACATGAATAAATGCTGAAAATGCATAACTTAAAATTCACGTCAAAAACATTTCCTGAAAACTTAATTTTAAATTTATCCCATGCAATATTCCATCGTCTGATGCATAGCAGGTCAAATTATGGGTTTCCATCAATACATTTTGCAAGTCTTCTCAAAATTGTTCTTCCAGTAATATTTTCAGTTATAAATGTTTTAAAGCAGGGGTGCCCAGTCCTGGTCCTGGAGGTCTACCACCCTGTAGAGTTTAGCTCCTACCCTAATTTAACACACCTGATCCAGGTAATGAAGACCTTCAGAGACACCTGAATGTTAGAGCCAGGTGTGTTGGACCTGAACTCTCCAGGGTGGTAGATCTCCAGGACCAAGACTGAGCACCTGTGTTTTAAAGATTGCCAGAGTTGGATGAAAATCCCATTTTAAAAATTAATTTTAACTGCTCAACTAACCAAGCTTAAAGTTTAACTGGATATAAATCCAAAGTCCAAAAAAGTTGTGCCTGTATAGAATTCCAATTAAAACGGAATGCAGTGATTAACAAGAAATATTTTTTCAACTGTTCAGCCAACCTCTGTTATACAGTGATGGTGGCTATTATTTACAAGGTAGCCTATCCTTCATAACCAAACAAATGATTGAAAAGAATGATAAATATAGCTTTGTGATTATAAAAGAAGTAGCAATGAATTAAATTAAAAGAAAATAGAAAAATAGATCATGTTGAAACAGTATAGAAGACAAACTGTTTAAGAAATTAAAAAGATATATATATTGAACCTAAGTCTGCTGCATACAGGGCAGGGGGTATTACCCATTATAACAATCATACATGGAATGCATCTAACAAAATGTATATGACACTCAAAATAGATAATTATGTTGCCTCAATAATTCTTTTACCATTGTGCATGAGGAAAGCAACTCTTTTTTTTTGGAATCTCTAGAAAAGAATATTTAAAACTAATTTAGTTGAACTAATTCATTGTGAAAAGCGGTCTTTAGGCCACCCCAAAAAGTATTGCAGTGTTTTCATTGTTGCATATACAGATTTAGTGTACAGATTCAGTAGAACAGTATAAAATAGCATCAGCTGCATAAAGATGTCCTTTGCTGTCAAAAATGGAGGAAAATAGATATCCATAGATATTGAATAGAATTGACCCTAAAATTGAACCTTGAGGAACACCAATAGTTACTGGTTATCGACACTGAGCTGTTGTTCTATATTTTGCAGCTGCAGTGACCTCAGTTGAAGTGACAGACAGCTGCTACTTCAGAAAAAGAAAAGTGTCTTGTCATTCAGATGGAGATCAGTTGCACCTCAGCTGGACTCTTAGTGGAATCACACTCAGACAAGCGGTTGATGGGAACAAAACTTTTCTGCTGGATAAAGATGATGTTGGGAATGTTACTTGCCACATATACAATCACATTAGCCGTAAACGCAAGACCGCTGAATTACACCATTGCCCTGGTAAGATGGATTTTTTATTGATAGATTGATTTATTAATGCAAGTGAGAAAGATCTGTTCAGTACCCATCTGTATGTACACCGATCAGGCATAACATTGCGACCACCTTGTTTCTATGCTCATTGTCCATTTGATCAGCTCCACTTACTATATAGGTGCACTTTGTAGTTCTACAGTTACAGACTGTAGTCCATCAGTTTCTCTGCATACTTTGTTAGCCCCCTTTTACCCTGTTCTTCAGTGGTCAGGACCCCCATGGACCCTCACAGAGCAGGTACTATTTGGGTGGTGGATCATTCTCAGCACTGCAGTTACACTGATGTGGTGGTGGTGGTGTGATAGTGTGTGTTGCGCTGGTCTGAATGGATCAGACACAGCAGTGCTGCACTGAAAATCAGCATGACGTATGAAGTTAGGTGTTGCGCCACCACAAGGTGCCACTAAAGCTTTGCCATAGTTTCTACAAGAGGAGAGCTCGATCCAAAATCTCCCATAGATGTTCAATTGGTTTGTGAAGCCAAAAAATGCCAGCAACATGTCCCCCTCCCTATCAATTATAACAGAGCCGCTGGACCCCTCACTGTAGGGATTCAGCATTCTGGCCTGTACTGTTCTTATGGTGAACATCTCTGAACATGCACTCGCCCACTTGTGGAGAATTGGTGAAGAATGTCTTATCTGACCATATCACTCTTTTCCAGGTCTTTGTTGCCCAGTGACTTTTAACAGTAGATCTAAGCGCAGGTGTCACTTTTGTCACTGTTCCTTTAGAAAATATAGTCAGTTGAGCCGTCTTTGAAGCTCCTGCCATCCATGCCTCAGTAATAAACGCTTTTTCAAAGCCATTTAAATCTTTTGCCATCTTGATTCAAAATTCATGTTGACTGGGTCTGCTCAGTATTTTATATACTCCACAAAGCCATAGCAGAATGTTGCTTAATTATATTCTATGGTAGTCACATCTGGAAGCTTCTACACTCATGATGTTTCTCAACTCATTTATTCAGGTTTTTCCTTTGTCACTCATCTCTATTGTAGTATCTAACTTAATAGCCATCATATTACAAAGGTAATTTCACTTCAAATATCAAGATAACATTTATGTTTACATTACATTTACATTTACTCTAATCCCTTGGAAGAAATGGTTAAAATTCTAGACGAGATGAAAAGTTTTAAAAGCATTTCTGATGGAAATCTCTCTCTCTCTCTCTCTCTCTCTCTCTCTCTCTCTCTCTCTCTCTCTCTCTATCTATCTAACTATCTCACTCTCTCTCTGTCTCAGACTTTATGTTTGTGTCTGTGTGGGTTGTGGAGATCACTGCTCTGCTGTCGTTGTTAGCAGGCTTTCACATCTATAGCAGAATCCACAGGAAACAGAGCACCGAACAGCCCGAAACAAGTGCAGAAAGTAAGAACTTTGTTTAGAACCATGTACAAGAGTCACTGTAAGAGTCTATGAACCCTTTAAAAAGTGGTTATTAAAAGGGTTCTTTTGTAAAGGATCGTGGTGAACCATGATTAGTAGAGCTAGGCCTTCAATTTGGGCTTGTAGACACCAGTGTTCACCTAACTCAAACCTCTTAATCAAATGTTCTCTCAAGTTCAGCAGAGGAGTTTTGTCCATTATGGGTCCTGGGGCACTGCCCTACAGGTTACCACAACCAAAAAAGGACAAATAACCACACTGTTATTAGCTATTACAGCTAGTTTTATTCAAGTCAAGTCAAATAAATACTTTTAGTAAAACAATGGTTCATTCAAAGTATGTATTTGAGTTAAACAAAACCAGCTAATTTGTTTGATACAACAGTGAAGTTTTTAATTTAGATTAAACAA